GTAGGAGTCATCTTCAGCTAAGACTAGTTTTATTTTCTAACAGGGTGGTTGTCCTTTGGAATTGGTTGCTTTCAGATGTTGTAGAGGCATTTCATTTAAGTGTGTTTAAAAAAATCTTGATAACTGTATGAATGAAAAGGGCTTGCTTTAAGTATTTTTTATTTATTTTTTTAATCATTTTAATTTAGTTTTGAGGATGGAACAGCCGAGATGGACCAATAGGCCCCATGTCCTCCCAAAATATTATGTTAATGATAACCAACGTTATCGAGTTACTGTACCTAAAATTACACCTCGGTACGTCTACCGTTACCAGAATGGAAGAGGTCCTAGTGATAAAACACGCACCATAATTCCAAATTTGGTATGGATGATCACGCGCTTCGTAGATAACATGTTTTGATGCAGCTGGTCTACAACACGTAGACAAGAAACTGGAAATATCAGTTGCTACGAAGCAAAATTTTGGCGTCATTCCTTTCATATTGTTTGTAATGTGACTTGTTATTTTTGTACACATTGTATTTGATTGTCGATTTAACCTCAAATGTTAATGTCATTAAACTTTTTGTTGTCACTTTGTTAATCTTACATTATGTTCATTATCATACGTAAACACTTTTAATTGATTAAATTCTCTAACTAAACTGAATTTTCATATTTTTAAATGAAAGAATAACTATCATCAAAATTTGAAACAGATTTATCAATATCTACATTTTATTGTTCCCATCGTTAGAATGAGTTTGTCATATACAGCCCGAAAGAAGTCTTAATAACATTTGTTTAGATAATAAATGTGTTTTCCATTAAAATTTAATTTGTAAAAATATACTAATTTTTTTCAAATTTGATTTGAGTGTTAATATATCGCTGATTATGATTTTCTAAATTCGCTCGTTTAATATTTCCATTTATGTATTATGAGTATATTTCCCATTACTGAAACTTCATTACACATATTTATAATATCTTGAATATTTTACAAAAATATTTACTCTTATTTAAACAATGATCGGTCTTATTTCTAGTAGTTTGTGATTTGTCAATTGCTATGAATATTTCTTATAATCTTGGCTATAACTTTTCTCTAATTCTTTACATCACTCGAATATTGTATGTATCACTGATGAATTGTTGTTCATAATTGATCAAGTTACATTAAGCTTAAATATCATCTTAAATGTGATTTTTATCACTGAAAATCTGTTTGTTTCAGTATTGAAGTTTAATGTTAATAATATGATCAAGGAAAAATATCTTGTTTAATGTCGATCTTGAAAGTTATTATATATAAATTGCTGTATTTGCTTTACATAGCTGTTCGACGTAACATTCTATTACGAATGCTAATAGTTGATGATGCTGGAATGTTTTCGACTTAAAAGATTTAGTTGATTTGGTATAGTAAAGTAGCATAAAATATTAAGAAT